ACACACACACACACACACACACACACACACACACACACACACACACACACACACACACACACACACACACTTGATGGGGAACCTTTCTTTGCAAAGTTTCAAAGATGTATCCAGCATTTTTCTACCTCCACAAATTTCCTCCAGTTTGAAATTTATGTTTGTCCAGTCTTCATGTGCACTCATAAAATGTGTTCGAGATTACCTAACCTGTGCTGTATATTATTTGTTCTCATGTATATGAACCTTCTCAGCACAGGACACTGAGGGTTATGGGTTTTGGATTCCCAGCCTACTCCACTCTGCTCTATGCGGGGAGCAGTACCCCCTGGCACGAGCTGGAAAACACCCACTTTTGCTTCCACAACCTGGCCAGGAGGCCCAAGCCAATTATCTCCACTGATGAACTCGAAGCGTAACACAGGGGGCGACGAGGGATCGAATGGACGATGTCGGGAATCAAACCCTCGACCTCCTCAATACCAGTAATGTGCAATTGTGCAATTGTGCCTTTTACGTGAGGGTTTGATTCCTCCTTGAAGATTCACATGGTAGTTCCCATGAGAGTTCACATGTCAGAAGCCAGATCAACATGAGAGTTCACACGGGGAATCAAACCCTCACCTCCTTGTGCAATTGTGTTCACATGGGGAATTCAAGGAGCATACATCAATGAACATTCACATGAGGGTTCACATGTGAGAAGCCAGATCGAGATACAATCAACACTTGAAGATGTTCTCTCCAATATTATTATCAATATACAAGAAAGTTTGTCTCCAGCGGCTCTGCCGCACACACACGCACAACGGATCTCAACCAGATAGTGGCTATGGCTTCTCCCGTCTTGTCTCTCTCTCTCTCTTACTTGACTCGCTCTGCCTCACTCTCTCTCTTCTCTCTACCCTAGATCGTTACCCTGGATACACCCACTCAGGTAGCTTAAGCCTTGGCGGGTATGGCCGCCGTCCTCCTGCTCTACCGCTAGCCTAGCTATGGAGTATGGCTCAAGCGCCCTCTTCTTCTTTGGGCGCACAGTGCCCAAGTTGCCTTTAGTGCACAAGCAGCAGCAGCGCTTCCCCATCTTGCAACTGAACAAGTGATGAGCCTCTGCACTGTAGCAGCTAAATATAGGACTTGGCTTCGCTGGGGTTGGCTTGGCTTAGCTTGCCTTGTTTCAGACCCGTACCGGTCGGCCGCAGCCTGTCTGCTGCAAACAATTTGTCAGTCCGGTAGCTTCCGGACTTTCCTGGGACATGCTGCAAAATTGGACTTGGGACCGCCCGACTGGACTGGACGCTTCTGGACATCTCTTGTCGGGTACCGGACAGACTCCTACCGACCTACGACGTTTCGGGACCGACACCTACCGACCTACGACGTTTCGGTACCGACACCTACTGACCTACGACACTTTGGCCTCTAGCCCCTACTGCCTACCCTAACGGACGGCCCTGGGACTTGGGACTTGTCCCGACCCTGGGACCGGGACTGGATGTCTGCAGCATGAATCCTTTCACTCCCGCCGTCCTAACTTTGAGGTCCTCCGAGAAAAATGATTTATCGATCATACACATTCACTCCTCATCTAGCCTTCTCATAATAGGAGACAATGTGAGGGGCCGTCTGTATTAGTTCTTCCCTGGGAAACCAGTGGTCTTCGCTGGGCTCCTGGTAAACAAGCCTGACCTTACATTGCCACTGTGGCCTTCCTCTGCGACCTGTGGGGAACGTATCTTCGGCCACTATTCAGTCTACATCATAACCTCGGTCCATATCTGGTGGAATCATGGAATGTCAGGAGGGAAACTGGTCGTTCGTAATACAGGGAAGCAACTTAGATGCGTGGAGTACCAGGTACGCTTGCAGGTGGGGCGGAATCTCGATCGTGTAGGACGGACCATCTGCCTCTCCTTCGACATTGTGTAAGACTTGCCATGGTCCCCTCTATGCAGGTAACAGTTTCTGTGAGATCCCTTCTTCAGGAACAAACTCCTTAGAGTTAACCCATACCAAGTCACCTACTGCAAACTGCGATGGTCGTCGATGTTTGTTAGCTTGTTCTATCATCTGGTGCTTGGCCTTAAGGATGTTCCTTTTGACCCGGTCTAGATCCTTCTCGTATTGAATGGCAAACTCCCTTGTGCCGGGCAGCAGTCTCTGAATCTGATCTGGATTCAAGCAGCAGTAGACAAGTGCACCAAGTTCATGTACTCAGACTGCACTTTGGGAAGATGTTCGTCCCAATCGATCTGGTTGGGCTTAATGTACATGCGTAGCACTTGCTGGAGCAGTTTGTTCATCTGCTCGGTCTGGCCATTGGTCTCTGGGTGTCTACAGGAAGACATGGTCAGCTTTGATCCATATACTTTCATCAACTGTTGCCAGTGCTCGCCCATGAATCTGCTATCTCCATCACTAACAATCGTTAATGGGTGTCCGCAATCCTTAACCCAGTGATTGAAGAATTCTCTAAGCACTAAATTTGTCTTTGCCTCAGCGGGCAGCGGAATAAAAACAGCAAATTTACTAGATCTATCTACAACTACCATCACTCGACTCTTCCCATTTCTGCTTTTTGACTTTTGTGTCCATAAAGTCAATCGACACGGATTCACTGTGACCTGACGGGACAGGTAGTGGTCTCAACAGGCCAAGTGGGGGCTGCGTGGAACTTTTGTTCCGTTGACACACTTGACAGCCCTGGATATAGACAATGCAGTCGTGCTTCATGCCGACCCAGGTGTCGGACCGGAGGAGATTAGCATAGGTTTTCCTCCAACCGAAATGGCCCTCAGTGTCGAGGCACTCTCCCAGAATCAGACTTCTGACTATCTCGTTGTTCGGGATGCACAGTCTGTCGAACCTGTCTGTTTTTTCGAACAGTAGTCTGTTGGTTACTCTATAGTCCGGGACTTTGTGTGGCGCAGTCTGCACCCTTTTAATTAGCTCGCTGTAAACGGGATCGTCAGTGTACGCGGCGTTGATCTGCTGCTGTGGCTCGGCGCCTGCATCTACGTATGTCACGATGGCTAATCCTAAGAATGACCGCATCTCGGTCAACAAGTGCGGTGTTGGCCAATCCCTGATTGCTGCTATCTTCGCGTCTTCCAGGCTGACTCCATCTCCATCCAATACATGGCCTAGATACAGTACTTGACGCTTTGCCCAGTCACACTTCTACGGGTTCAGTTTGAACTTCGCAGTGCACAGCTTATCTAAGATCAAACGCAGATGCTGTTGGTGCTCCTCTAGAGTCTTACTAAATATCAGAATATCATCTAAGTAAACGACTACGAATTTCTCTAGCCATTCACGGAAGAGATCGTTCATGCATTTTTGGAAGGTAGCAGGTGCATTCGTCAGACCAAACGGCATGACCACAAATTCGTAGTGGTCATAAGAAGTTATAAAAGTCGTCTTGTGCTGGTCTTTGTGTTGTACCTCTACCTGATGGTAGCCCGACTTCAAGACGATCTTGGAAAAATACATCCCTGCGCCCTATCCAACAGATCATCGATTCTAGGCAAAGGTTCAGCGTTTTTCACCGTAATCACATTCAAACCCCTGTAGTCGATGCACATGTGCGGTTTGCCCTCCTTTTCAGGAACGAACAGGCCCAGTGCGCCATACAGTGAGGAGCTGGGCTTAATCCACCCTTTTTCTATCAATTCATCAAGCTGCCTGAACAGCTCATTGAGTTCTTTGGGAGACATTCGATAAATGGGCCCCTTGGGAGTTTTGCTACTGGGCTCTATCTCTACTAGATAACCTGTTGCGGCTTCGCTCGCAAAAACAGATATGATGCGTGATGCATTCATGGTGTAGGCAACTGCTCAATGCAATCTCTCTCTCTCTCTCTCTCTCTCTCTCTCTCTCTCTCTCTCTCTCTCTCTCTCTCTCTCTCT